AATGATTAGTGATGTTGAGCATCACTAATCATTAGAGAAATGCAAATCAGAACTACAATGAGGTATCACCTCACACCAGTCAGAATGGCCATCCAAAAAATCTGCAAACAATAAATGCTGGAGAGGGTGTGGAGAAAAGGGAACCCTCTTGCACTGTTGGTGGGAATTTAAGTTGGTGCAGCCACTATGGAGAACAGTATGGAGGTTCCTTAAGAAACTAAAAATAGAACTACCATATGACCCAGCAATCCCACTATTGGGCATATACCCTGAGAAAACCATAATTCAAAAAGAGTCATGTACCACAATGTTCACTGCAGCTGTATTCACAATAGCCAGGACACGGAAGCACCCTAAGTGTCCATCGACAGATGAATGGATAAAGAAGATGTGGCACATGTATACAACAGAATATTACTCAGCCATAAAAAGAAACAAAATTGAATTATTTGTAGTGAGGTGGATGGACCTAGAGTCTGTCATACAGAGTGAAGTAAGTCAGAAAGAGAGAAACAAATACCGTATGCTAACACATACATATGGAATCTAAAAAAACAAAAAAATTGGTTCTGAAGAACCTAGGGGCAGGACAGGAATAAAGACGCAGACGTAGAGAATGGACTTGAGGACACGGGGAGGGGGAAGGGTAAGCTGGGACAAAGTGAGAGATGGGCACAGACATATATACACTACCAAATGTAAAACAGATAGCTAGTGGGAAGCAGCCGCATAGCACAGGGAGATCAGCTCGGTGCTTTGTGTCCACCTACAGGGGTGGGATAGGGTAGGTGGGAGGGCGATGTAAGAGGAAGGAGATATGGGGATATATATATATATATATATATATATATATATATGTATAGCTGATTCACTTGGTTATAAAGCAGAAACTAACACACCATTGTAAAGCAATTATACTCCAATCAAGATGTTAAAAAAAAAAAGAACACAAATAGCAAATGTTGGCAAAGATGTGGAGAAAAGGGAACCCTTGTACTTTGTTTGTGGGAATGTAAATTGATGCAGCCATTGTGGAAAACAGTACAGAGGTTCCTCAAAAAACTGAAGGTAGAACTACCATACGACCCAGCAATTCCACTCCTGGGTATTTATCCAAAATACCCAAAAACAATAATTTGAAAAGATACATGCACCCCAGTATTCATAACAGCATTATTTACAATTGCCAAGATACGTCCATCAATAGATGAATGGATAAAGATGTGGTATATACATATGATGGAATACTACTCAGCCATAAAAAAGAATGAAATTTTGCCATTTGCAAAAACATGGATGGACTTGGAGACTATTAAGCTAAGTGAAATAAGACAGAGAAAGATAATACGTGCTGTATGATAGCACTTATATGTGAAATAAAAAAATATAACAAACTAGTGAATTTAACAAAAAAGAAACAGACTCACAGATAAAGAGAACGAACTAGTGATAACTGGTGGGGAGAAGGAAGGGAGGACAAGATAGGGGTAGGGGATTAAGAGGTACAAAATACTCTGTACAGAATAAGTTACAAGGATATATAGTACAACACAGGGAATATAGCCAATATTTTATAATAACTATAAATGGAATATAAGCCTTAAAAATTGTGAGTCACTACTGTATATCTGAAACATATATTGTAGTACATTAACTATACCTCAATAAAAAAAGAATTTGAAAAATTAATTTTTTAAAAATAATGCATGTGTTGGCCCTCTATCTCCTAGACAGTAAAATAAAAAAGGCTGAACTAAATTCTCTGTGATCCTCTTAGCTCAAATGTCTTTTTCAAAATAACCAATTTATATTTTCCTCTTGTTTCTAAATATTTGGGATTTATCTCAAAAAGAGTCATTTATGTATTCCTCAAATAAACCATGCCTGTGCATGCCGATGAACTTTGGCCTATGTTGCCCCTGCAAGCTAAAATGCCTCTCTCCTACTCGCCATCTGGAAAATACCCCATCATCCTTGGAAAGATCAGCTTCCGCGAATCCCTCTCTCTCACTCCCCAGGTAAGAATGACTCTGCCTGCCCTTCTCTGACTCCCACTGTACAAAGTTTATTCCTCCATGGCACAGGCTTTTGGTTTTGTTTTTGTTTTTAAAGGTAGTGAGTTGTGTCTGCTGTCTTCTTCCTAACCCATCTCTCCTTTAAGGACAAAACCCAGCTTCTAGCCGTTTCCCAAGCAAGTCTTTATCATACAAAACTTAAGTGATGGAAGAACAAGAAAAATGAAAGCAGAGAGGTTAAGACAATCAGTATAATAAAGAGATGAGTCTGAAAGGGGACTGGAGAGCAACTAGACAGACAGCATGGGCCAAGTTTGTGAGACAGTTTGGGGAAGCTTGCAGTGAAAGAGGGGAGAGCTTTCAACAAACGGTGCTTGAATCATGCCAAAATGGTACCTTGGTGCCACGGCTGCTATTGTAGGTATGAGATATGTGGGGGAGGGCAGGAAGCAGATGTGTTGCTAGGCTGTACAAAAGGCATTGCCTTTGGCATTCTTAGAGAAATTTCCATAGAGTTTAAATTGTTTGTCAGTCATTCTACATTCAGGGAAGGGGTGGGGGTGGGATGAACTGGGAGATTGGGATTGACATACACACACTATTGTATATAAAATAGATAACTAATGAGAACCTACTGTAGAGCACAGGGAACTCTACTCAGTGCTCTACGGTGACCTAAACGGGGAGGAAATCTAAAAGAGAATGGATATATGTATATGTATGACTGATTCACTTTGCTGTACAGCAGAAACACAACACTGTAAAGCAACTATACTCCAATAAAAAAATTAATTTGTAAAAAATACCAAGAATTACAATAGAGATAATAAGTAGAATTTATGTTTCAAATAAAATAGCCCCGGGGCTTCCCTGGTGGCGCAGTGGTTGGGAGTCCGCCCGCCGATGCAGGGGACGCGGGTTCGCGCCCCGGTCCAGGAGGATCTCGCGTGCCGCGGAGCAGCTGGGCCCGTGAGCCATGGCCGCTGGGCCTGCACTTCCGGAGGCTGTGCTCCGTGGCGGGAGAGGCCGCGGCAGTGAGAGGCCCGCACACCGCAAAAAAAAAAAAAAAAAAAATAGCCCCTATATAATAAATAAATAACAGTTTTTCAGTCATTCTACATTCAAGCTATCATGTCTTTAAACATGACCGCACAGTGAAGATGGAGCTTTAAGCTAGTGACATCTGTCTTGTAAGACTCAGCAACTTGTAATTATACTTTCATGTCTGTTTTCTCCTCTCACCCGCCCCCAACCCTGCCTCCAGCCTCTCCATGAGAACAAGGACTGCACCTTTTATCCACTTGCCCTGCTTCTATGAATGAATGATTCACTTAGAAAAGGAGACTTTCTCTGGAACCCTGCACACAATCCCCAGGCAGGTTCCAGAAGCATACAAACGGATACATATGGAAGGCTTCAGAGCTCTGGGGTCAAACAGGTTTGGGTTCTAATCCCAGCTCTGCCACTTACTAGCTGTGGGACCTGTAACTCCCTAAGGCTCAGGTCCCTCAACTGTAAAGTGGTGGACGTCCTGGAACCTGCTGCATAGAGTTAAGACAACTAAATAAAATAACACATATTAAATACTAAGTACAGTACCCAACACAGACATACACGTTATAGAGATATAGACATAGCATATCTAAATATATTCAAACACATACAGACACATTCAGCTTCCATTCTGAACCTTCCCTGAGAAACAGTCTTATCTCTTAGGTATGTATATATTAAATCCAGCATTTTCTAAAAAGAGACAGTAACACTATCACAGTTATTATAAGTATGTTTAATTGACTGAAAGAGAGCATTGGGCACAACCTAAAAGTATATGCATCACTTTAAACTATTAATCTAACTTATTTACATCATATACATATCTATCTGTCAAGCAAAGGTTAATAGAGAGTTTATGAAATTGGGAATGCAATTAAGTCTCCCGGGAATCTCAGTTGGAGGCCATGCCAGTTTCTATGGTAACCAAAGGGCTCAGGCAAAAAATGGGGGAAGGGAGGTGATTTAAAAGCAAGATAAGCACATAAATATAGCTCTTGTCTACCTTTTCTTCTGAGTTCCAATAAGCAATCTTTGCTGCATTTAAATTATTATACAAAGGAAAGTATAAATCAGATTAGTCTTTCACCTCCTAGAATTAAATACATTTTTGCAACATGTTTAAAGTGATTCCAGTTTTTAAAAATGTATCACTTCTCAGTTTATGAAGTGTGTCAGGTATGTCTCAAATTCCCCAGGGGAGAGAATAGGAGAGGGGATTGAAAGAACACAACGAGATATCCAAGATGTCCAGGATGATTAGACTATACTGTGAATAACCTTCTCAACACCAGCTAATTAGGTTTTACTTATGGTCTCAGAAATTGCAATTAGGCCAAAGGGAGAAAATGTAAAGAATTGGTTTTCCTGTGACAAATTTCACAACATCACTGAATTGAAGAAGAGTTTAGTAATCACCTAGTCAAACCCTTGATTTAATCACCAAAAACACTTCCCTTGAGAAATTAACTTAGCTCCCTAATTAGGTGAGGGAACTAGATACCAGCAGAACCATGGTTAGAATCTGAGCTCCCTGACTATAGCTCGTACTGTAGTCTACATTCCACTTTCCTCTCCTTCACTTCTTTTTTACATGCAAAACTTAGGAACGCTCTTAACCAAGTCATTCCCAACTGCTGAATTGTCTGTTCTCTAGATTACTGCAGGTGGTCTGATTTGTTTTGTAAAACCAAATGAATCTTATTTTGGTACACTTCACCTAAGTTCTTAATTTCATTCACATTTAGAAGCAACTTCACATTTTCCATTAAAAAACCACTTTATGGAAGTTCTGTGAGTACTTACCTGTTTTATCTGACAGTCCAGCAGCTCCGTGTTCACTGCCAGCAATGTGCTCCTTTATGTATCCCACATAGTCTGTGTTAAGAAGAGCCTGAAAGAGAGAGGCCACCAGAGAAATTCATATAGGATCCACACAAGATATTGATTTTTAAAAAAAATCAGGAAAATCCTATTGCATAGTCTCAAATTTTCATTCTGCAATCTCAAGTGATTCCTTTGTAAAGGGGAGATAAAATGGGATAAAGAAAAATAGAATAGCATTATAATTCAGCCAGCATTGTTAAAACAGTGAACTCCTGCTTCTCTCCCAAGGTTTGCACTAAATGAAATCTGAAGTTTCTCATTTTGTTTCAAATAAATATAATAGATTCCATAGTGGACATGGTGATCTCTCTGGGTCTCTGCATACATGTAAAAATGGTGCTTGGTGCAAGTGAGGAGACAGGTGGCTGGACTAGAACCTAATTCTCCATCTCTAATATTTCGAGACTGAGAAAAGATATCAAAAGTACAGATAAGATGCTATACTTACTTCTACAAACTACATTCTCTCTGAAATTCTGTCTTCTGATTCACAAACTGGAGATAATCCCAGCTAAGCATACCTCGCAATGTTATTATGTGGATGAAATGAGGGTGTCATTGGAAATTTTCATTTATTGTGAAACTTACCCTGGGTGTAACAGCCACTGTGCTTGCCCTGCCTCTCTGTCCTCCTATGGGACGCTTCCCCACCCACAGCCTCTACGAAACAGGTAGCCATGTTTTTTCATGTAACCCTACTGACTTTCACATGCCCATTCAGCTGATGCAAAGGACCACCGCTCCAACGCCTGGCCAAACACCTGTGTGGCCTTGCTCAAAACAATAAACTAGATCGATCAGAAATTTGAACCAGGACACATGCTAAAAAAAAAAAAAAAATAGTGTGTGAGCAGTGGGAAGTGTAGTGAAAAGGTCCAAATGGACGGAGTGGGTCAAGAAGCAGAAAGTACGGGAAAGGAGGGGTCAGTTGCTGGCAGGACAGAAAAGAGACCTGAGGAGGGTAACTGAGTTTCACTGAGAGCAAAACACTGGAGTAGGGACCCAGGAGCTGTCATCACCAGGTCTCCCCAAAGCTTGCTGGAAACAAGATTCACCAATCTTTTTTATCTCGCTTCCTAAATAGTTCTCTGTATCTCCTCCACTGCCACTTTGGTCCATTGTTATAAAATTAGTCAATTAATTGGTTAATAACCCCCCATCATTCAACATCAAGAATTATTTTTTTAACCTTAAGAGTTTATTGGAGGAAAAAATGATTCAAATCGAGCAGCCCCAAACCAGAAATTGTTAGGAGAGCTCCACCAACAAGAGCGTGGAGAGAAACTTCCATAGAGAAAAGGCAGAAGCAAAGCAAGGCAATTATCAATTGGCTACAGCTTAAAGCCTGGCTGCCTATTTGTGACTGGTTGTCCTTGGTGTTTTCAATTCGTAACCTTGAGGCAGTTACAGGCTGAGACTTTGGTTTGCTTTCAAAGGCTGCCAAGGCATCAGAGTCACCTCAATCTAATGGCTTCCTTGTTTAATTAATTTAACAATTCCCCCCTTTGGATCATCCACTCATATGTGAGAGATTGGCCCAAAATGTGCTATTAGCACCACTTTCAGTCACTATCAGAGTTAAGTTGCCCTTGTCTAATTGTGAAACAGATAGGTTATGATATCATATCCATGGAAAAATTGTTTTTGCTGTTTATCTCACTGATCATCTGGTTTTGGTTTCTCCAAGCACAGTGAGACCGTCTGATTTACTGCTGATGGCTATGAACAGCATTTAAGACCTTTAAGAGAACACAGGTCACCAGGGAGACTACGATGAAAACTATTAGGAGGATAACACTAAAAACTGAAGTACACCCCTTAGCCAGGGCCCCCGTGAACCAAATCAGTTGGTGTCAAATAAATCAAAGAATGCACCCAAAGAGGCATCATCCTCTTTTAGTCAAGTGGTTTTTTCATTAACTTCTTGTATTTGCTACAATACTCCAGACGCGCAGGCTCAGTAGTTGTGGCTCATGGGCCTAGTTGCTCGGCGGTACGTGGGATCTTCCCAGACCAGGGCTCGAACCCGTGTCCCCTGCATTAGCAGGCAGACTCTCAACCACTGCGCCACCAGGGAAGCCCTGAGGACACCTTTTTAACGGGGGGATGTGGACCCAAGGTTCAAATCTCTGCTTTTGGCTGCCAGCTGGGTAGTGAGGAGGATCTGGTATGGTCACTTCCAAAAAGATTCTGGGGCAGTCTTTGTCCTTAGTGATTCCAAATCAGAAGGGCGGAAGAATACTGAAAATGTAAGTTTGGAGAGCTGTAGCCAGATATTTGAGGAAACTAGAATTCAGGATCTAGTTCAGTTTACAGATATACAATAAAACCTCAAAGACAATGAACAAGGCTAGAATCTGATATACACAAGATTGTACTATAATATTTTACTGAAACATATTTTTTCCTCTACAATCACCCTCATATCTATCAAGGATAATCAAGTAAGACTAACTTGTTTGCAAAATAAGTCTAATCTCATTAAACTTGGCCTGATTAGTCACTTAAATGTAGCAAGAATAGTGATTGGCCATATAAACTTTTAAAAATCTGCTTTGCTAGAACTTTTCATAAGGAATCATAGATTGGACTTTTAAAAAGGCTTCCCCAGGCTAAGAAGCCAAGCCAAGAACTCACCATCAGAGTCCATCTGAAATACCTACAGGTTTGGGTGAATTCCTCTTTTCTTATAGTCCCCAAGATATTCTGAAGTTCCTGGGCTTACCAGGAAGTGACCTTCCTTATTCACCTGGTAAGGCTGCCAGGCACCCTCTAAACAAGCTACCAGGCCATTTTTTCCAAGGGGCTTTTATTGGCTCCATAAAGTCAACCTTAGTTCCTCAGAACTATCTGGTCATATTTGATTTTATGTGTATTCTCAAACATGACATTCCAGTCAAAGCCTTAGTAATATAACCAATCTTTCCAATCGTCTCCTTTTATAAGGAGAACAGATTCTTATTGAACTTATGCAAATAACTATATTGCTGTGAAAATAAGAATATTCAATGAGCTTCTGCATTCTGGACGTATCAGGTAGGGAGAAAAGCTAAATGTTTCAAATCTGTTTACAGAAATGGACTTTACAAAATTACTGGAAGCCACAGATAGCTTAAGAGAAAATGATTTCCTTAAATCTGGAAAAATAGGGAGAAGAGATCAAAATGGTAGAGGGTAGAGGGTGCTGAGCTCACCTCGCCCTAAGAATGCATTAAAATAGATATACACACGGAGACAGATAGCAAGGAAGCAGTTGGGGTGTGTGGTGGCATGGAGACACAGTGCCTGTAATACAATATTTGAATTTCCAATTTTGTCTTGAAAAAATGAGTCAATCTGAGGATGGCTCTACAATCTCCATGGCTGCCGGTGACTTGTCAAAAGGCCCCTGTTCTGTCTCTTTAGAGATAGAGCCCTACGGCCACATGAGACCTTAGCGTTGAGATTAATCTCCCATATTTGGAAGGCAGAAGTGGGCAAATTAAGCAATGTGCATGACTGAGCAGGTTGAATGCCAGAGGCCAAAGAGAAAATGATGTCAGCAAGCAGCAGTGTTTCTTGTCATCCTCTTCCCAGGATCCTGTTCCTTTCAACACACTGTGCGTGTACTTCATGGGATGATTTTTGTAACGTTCATTTATAAAATACACTATACTATTAAAAAATACATCTACATGGGGAGCAATTTTCACTGAAACAAACTGGAGACAGGCAGAAAGACTCCTGTACAGCCAAGGCTGTAAAGAAAGATCCACATGGTGTCACATAGGAGGGGAAGAGAAGCAATCAGGCCAAGACCCGTGCCCCTGGCAGGGGACACATAAGAGAAGGTGGATTACATGAGCTTAGAGATCCTCCCTGGGCAATGAGCAGTTCAAACCACATATTAGGCACCCCAGCCCTCGGGAAGACAAGTCCCCTTAGCTGCTTTTGAAAACCAATGGGACTAAAAGGACGGCTGTTAGAAACCTAGACTCCACTCCTGAAGAGTGCCCAAGTGCTTGCCTAATCCCAGGAACAAAGTGGAGGAAGCAGATTCAAATTGCCTGGGACTCAGATCAGTTTCCCACGATCACCCCAGCATGAATACCAGCCCACGCCAAGGGCCCACTCTGGCCCCTCGAGCACAGCTCCCCACTAGGGCAAAGGGTGCCACTGTTAAGAAGAGTGCATAGTTGGGGGCATGGAGCTGGCTTAGACCTGGCACTACAACTGAACAGGGTGAGGGTGGCCATTACTGGCATTTGTAGAGGCAGCAGGTTGAAGGTGGTCTGGAACTCTGAATGGTGTGCCAGGACCAACGCAGCACACAAGCAGGACCACACCGAACACATACTCTGGACCCTCTAGCTCCAGCACTGCTCCCCAGTGAGGGAAAAACGCCAACATTGGGAGGGGGAGAGCACACACTAAGAAGGGATGGAAACATCTTGGACCCAAACTAAGTGCTCTGCTCCAGCACCCTGGGACACCCCCCCACCAGCCCCCAATATATTGCTGTCAGCCACTGAGCATAGGAGACGCCTCATCACACCTGGCTCTGGCTCTAGCCCCTCCATCTCCAGCGAACCTCTCACCAAGGTGATAGCTGCCAGCACACCCTGGGGGAAGACATGACCCATGCTCACCTCAGATCCATCTCTCATAACAAAGCCACTGGGCACACACAGACTGCAAAGGAATGCTCCCACACAAGGACACCCCTTCAAGACTGGGACAGGTAACTGTTTCACCTAATTTCATAGAAACTGAGAAAGTTAAACAAAATGAGAAGACAGATGCATTTGTTTCAAATAAAAGCACAAGAAAAAAACACTGAAAAAACAACAAATGAAATGGAGATAAATAATTAGAAGATAAAGAGTTCAAAGCATCAGTAATAAGAATGATAACTGAACTAGGGAAAAGAATAGATGAACACTGAGAATTTTAACAAGGAACTAGAAAATATTTTTTTAAAAACAAGTCAAAACTGAAGAATACAATAAATCCTCCTAGTATGTTTTT